GTATGGATAGAAGCACTCTAGATGCGACTGAGACTAGAGTTCGTTGGCTAATAGTAGTAGTCTCGAAACCCTAATCAATTACGAATAATAGTAGATGTGCTTGATCATAGACATGAGGCAAAGGCTTAACAATGAAATTTACTCGGGCACTTAAGCCTCGAATTAGTTTCCAATCCAGCTTGATAATCCTGATTTGTAGGGGCCTACTCAGAGAGGCGGAAGTAGGCGTGCCATCAAAGGCTTAAAACAGTGTGAGAAATAACGCTTCGATTTTTACAGAAAGGGTGGCTGAGGTCGAGTAAAATACTTGAGCCAGGGCAATATCAGACTGATCATACGGGGCAAGAGGGAGACTATGATCAGAACTATGGAAGAAGGCTTGCGTGAAAATAGGGTAGACTATAATCAACAGTCCCAGCACAACGGTGAATGGGGGTGAACGGGTGAGGAGGCCAACGTGGGGTCTTGAGACTTCTCATGAAAGCCGCTCAAGAGGGCGTAACATACCACATTTTAATAAGCAATTAAAATTTTTTGCTAGTATATGGGTGATACGAGGATATAGGATTGTGGGTCAGCACAGGGCGGAAGGAGAGATACCCCTATTATTTAACAGCCAATTGGTCAGGTATCAGCTTCATTTGTCTCTGACAAATTGTAGTGTGGTGCTAGGAGAAACAAGGCTCACAGACGATGCCGACGAAATGCCTGAAAATGTACCACGTCCACGGTCCGACCAAAAATTTATCATGCATACTATGGACTTCGGACTAAGTACATTTCTCTAAGTCTTCCTACCAATATGACCAAGTTACGAAAACAAGGTCAAACAACATCCAAACCTGTGTGGCTTTAAAAAGAGGATGAATGATCAATCGAAATGGTAACGCGACCAAATTATACAGACTGACCGCCTTGACCCAAGTGCGCTTCCGCCAAGGCCCACCCATCCGCGAACATCAACCCAATGAATAGGCGATACCATATCGCGCAGTAGACCATGAAAGCCTTCCTGCACTCCAAGTACTGTAAAACCCTTGGTGATGCCCAGGCGAGCAAAAGATCTCATTGCTGCATTCACGCCACATGCAGGTGCGCCGACGTTGATGATAGCTATACGGAGACCAGTCTGCAATAAAAGATGGGAGGTTAAGGATAATAGTGAAATCAGACAAATAATATAGAAACTTGAAAGATGTAAGCAGGCTTATAAGGCTATGAAAATAAAAAGAGTTAACATATTAGGGCAGGAATGAAAAATCATTTGATAAGTAGTCTTCCAATAAAATGAAACCTTCTATAAAAGATGCAATAAACATATGAATTGAAGACATGTAAGGCAGAAGTTTGTTGCAGTTTACCTACCAGTTTCTGAGTGCAAGGATTAGCCTTTAGTATATTTATTCATTACAATAGAGTAAATGGACTAACAAAAAAAATTGTTAGGGGGTCTTTCATTTCGAATGAAAGTGCATGAAGAAGCGATTCGTTGGTCGATCTCACCAGATGAAGACGGATGAAACTCGTTGTAGTGCAGCCACTCGGCTTTTATATGATATTTATCTTGACGCAGTCCACGAGTCTTCCTCCCTAGTTTCGGATGAAAACGTGCTGAGCTTTCGTCTATCATATGATGGACATCATTAGAGCTTGGTCTCATTCTTGTAAAAGTCTAACGTTAACACTAAAGCAAGAACACTATCCGGCTCTATCTTAATTCTTATATAGACTCAATCGAAACAAAAAATTAAAAATTACAAACCTAGATAGATCGATATAGATTGGTTTGGTTAATTTTCTTTTATACTGGTTCTGTTATTTTTATGCTCGATTGTATGAGAATGCATATTTGTGTGTGTTAGCGTCTATATAAATAAATCAAAATAATCAAAGATTAAATCTCGTGTTCTGATCCTAAAGAATTAATAACCCAAGAGAAAATCTTTGACTGAGACTGTCTAAGTCCGTAGATAAGTATGGTTGAGATAATGAAATATGAATTTTTTAAGCATCATAATCAAGTTACGAAACCATTTGTTCTAACCTTTCTGTCAAGGGTCATTAACGTTTAACCCTCCAAGGAAAAGCAAGACTGGAGTTGTGTAACGTGACATCTCTGGTTTGTTTGAAGAGCTTAATCTAACATTTAGGGCGAATGTGAGTGAAATTAGAACCATCACTGAGCAGACAAATTGATTCGCCTTCTTTTTGACGGCAGCTGAACACCCTCTCTCTCTCTTTCAATCTATCAATCAAGCATAATTAATTCTTACTCAACTTTCTACCTCCGTTCCTCACATTCAATGTATTTCCTAAGCTATTAATTTTAATAGCTTCTCTTATCTTTCTTTTAAACACAGACGTACCGTAATCAGCAAACCTAGTAGATAGAGACCATTCTATTTCATGTCCAGTTTATAACATATGTTCGGCCACTTTTGACCGTTGGATCTAGCTACCTTTGCAAGCAATTTTGTGTTCTACCAATCTTTATCGAATAGGTCGGCATGTCTCACCAGCATAACATCGACCACATGAGCAAACAATCTTGTGGCAGCCGGATCTCGATAAGAGGTCATATTTCTCCCTTAATGATGGCATAACAGAAAAAAGTGTGAGGGTTTCTTTGAGTACTGTTTTTATGCCCCACTTCTTCACTAATTCGCTTATCTTTTTTGAGAGAAAGCATGTCGGTAAAATAAGGACATTGGAAAATGTCTCATTCTGTCTATCTTTGATTAAATGGTTTCCGTCTGAAAATGTATTCCTCAGTAAAGAGATATTATTCTCAATAAGGCCTAAAGAATAATTATTTTCTCGGAATATATTTGTCAGCCGTTCAAACTATTTAGTCAAATGTTTGCTATCCGCTAATTTCATACTTCTAAGAATCATTGACTTTAAAATTCCAACCTTAGTCTTGTAATTATGGTTGGAAAGAAAATTAAGCAAAGAGCCAACATATGTTGACTTCCTATAAACATCTATTTCTAACTTACCCTTTTCTCTAATGATGAGAACATCCAGAAAAGGTAAGGACTTATTCTCTTTCATTTCCATCGTGAACTTAAAGTACCTTTCACGCTGGTTGAGTGAAAATAAGAAACTATCTAAATTATCCTTACCATGAGGCCAGATGACAAAGTAGTCATCCATCTATCTAACCAACAATTTTGGTGTCAGTATTGCCTCTTGCAGGAAGTGTTTCTCCAATTTTGCCATATAATTGTTCGCTAAGATGGGAGACAGGCAAGATCCCAACGCTAATCCTTGCGTTTGTCCGTATAACTTACCGTCAAAGGTGAAATATGTGGTACTCATGCATAGATTAATAAGTTTAATAATGAAAGCCACTCTCAACCTTATTCCTTGTATTATCTCTGGATGTTCTTCCAGAGTTTGTATCAGAGCTTGAATAGCTCCTTGCACAGGAATGTTTACACTTATCCATTTCCTCATTACTTACACATACCTTAAGGGCATTGTTTAGCCTAGTTTTAAGTCTTTCTGTTGGGTTTCTCAATAAACGTCTATATGTGTCTTTATCATTTAAATGAACTACCAGTTTATCTACATAACTTGACTTATCCATGACTACCACTGCTCCACCTTTGTCGGCTTTTTTTATTATTAGATTATTATTATTACGCAAGTATCTAGAAATCTTTCTAATATAACAATCTTTCTTAGGTAGTATTATATTTTTAAAATGAGGGATCACCTCCAGTTCAATACTATTACTTACCTCTTCAGGTAATCTATCAGATAAGTTAATTAATTCAACTAATATTTTCAGAGAATGGTTTACCTCATTCGGAAGAGCAAAGTTCAATCCACTTTTTAATAAAAGTACTACACTATCCTCCAAAGTTGTACTAGATAAATTGATTAGCTTATCCTTCACCACTTTGTTACAACCATGGTTCGTAAGATTTATCTTAGGGCGCAAAGTTTCTCGACTTTATTCTAATTCCTAAATTCCGGAGCTTTTTATCATGTATCCGACATGTAACTATGTCAATCGCCTTTCCTAACCCGTCAGCCATGTCTTGTAACTTCATGAAATCCACATCATTCAATAGTTCAGAGAGAGATTGTCTAAGCTTGATTTTAGTTCTAATTAATGTGTGCAGTTTGATAATGCTTTCCTTAAGCCTAGTTTTAACTAAACCACACGATACTTGATCTAACAAAAAAAAAGCCGAAAATATAGAATATAGAAAAGCTAAAGTAAATCAAACAACGAACTTAGCTGAACGAAGTTGAATGACGCCGGTTTATATTATGCGACTTTATTAAATGCCTATCTGTAGCCAATGTAAAGTTAAAGGGCTGTGTAAGATAAATTAAAAACCAATTGTAACCACATTGAAAAAATGTGCAGATCAAATGACAAGACCCTTGTTAAGAATTAATAGTAAACGGAGGAAAATATCTTTAAGCATTATAGTGTTTTTAATAAATGAGCGCAAATAGTCCACCTAAATGGAAGGCATCAACGATAGGTTGATATAAAAGCTTGTGGATTCACTACTATTTTTATTGAAAGTATTATAAAAGAGGTGAAGGTTGATCTCACCAGAAGATGACTGAATCCTCTTGGTCAGCAGTCGGCTGGTTCTCCTGGGCCATTCTGGTTGGCACTGTCCCCAAGACAACCTACCTCAATTCTAGTGAAAATGTGCAAACTTTTGCTTATTAGGTGATGGATATCATCAGCATAAAGTATCATTCCTATAGATTAATCGAAAGTATAAGACCAAGATGGTGTGGCATTTTTTGTGGTCGCAGTCTCCTGCCGTTGTATAGAAATTGTTTGACTTTGTCTTCGCAACTTGGGCATATTGGTAGGAAGACTTAGAGGAACGCACCTAGTCCAGAGTCCATTGTATGCATCATCATTTCCAGAGTAGGATAGTGGACGTTGCACATTCCCAGAGGTTTCGCCGGAATCGTAGTCGGCATCCTCAGTAAGTTTCACCATTCGTAGCACCATTCAACAACTCGTCAAAGAGACAAGTGAAGCCGATCCTTTGACCAAACCTGTGC